AGGCAGAGGATTGGGGCCAAGGGCAGGGGGTTTGGTTGCTATGGGGTGGGCAAATGGCAGACCTAAACTTGGTGGACAAGCTGCATTCACTCAGCCCCCGCATCTAAAGTTTTATGGTAGTGCAAGCCCAACTTACAACATTGTTTTGCAAGTTTTATAGAAGTAATGTACTTTGAAGCTTTTTGTAACGCTCTCTAAAGCACTACATAAATGTAAAGCAGCATTGCTGTCAATCATGTAATGGAATGTCCTGATGCGTTTAAAATGTTTTTGGTGGGTTTTTTGTCTAATTTTTCCCCATTCTCCTGTGTCTTACAGGTGGAAAGAGAAATGCTTTTTCGACATGCAAAGCAAAAGCAGCAACATCAGGGCCCCTTCTTGAAATGGAAGCTTGTTAAATTTCCAGGCATGTCCTTCACCTGAACGGACCACCACTAAGGAGTATGTCTCGGATGTCTAAACTTGCCCTACTGTCACTGCTAAAGACGCTGAACCATAGACAATCACTGCCACGTCCTTTTCGCTACCACGGACCCCCTAGAACTGACACCCTAAAAAGAGCAAGATGAGCATTTCAGAACTACCCCCGTTCGCAGAGAACCTTCTCGCCTTCCCTCTGCCTTACGCACTCCTTCATTTGTATGTCATACGTTTGTCTGTACTGAGTCAGCATCAGAATACTTCAGCTGTGTTGTTTTTGCTTCAGCCAGCCGCGACTCCCGTTCTGGCCCTTCACAGAGAAGGAATAGAATTGATTTGTTGAGGAAGGCGCAGTCCAATGTTATTTAACAGTGTAAAAGGATCAATCTTTAGCTTTTTTAAAAAGAAAACTTGAATGCTTTTATATTTTAGTTTATTTCCTTGGTGTATATTTTTTATTGTCCTTGTGGTTTTGAAATAAGTATCAAAAGTCTTGAATCCATTTTTTTTTTTTTACAAAAGAAGAACAATTGCGATGGAGGAGTATGTGGCTTTCCTCCCCTTGGTTAATGGTTTGTAGCATAAATCCCTCATTTTCAGAGTATGCTCTGGAGTCCTATAATTGCACCAATCAGCTGGTCAGTAGCTGTGTTGATTCCTATCCTGTCCCTTTCCTCTATGCGTGTGTGGCCAACACACCTCATCAGATCTGACTGCAGTGAGCGCTCCTTCTACTTTCCACCTGCCCTGAGTTTCCCTGTACAAAAGGCCCAGCACTTGAATTATTATTACTTCAATTGTTCTGTATTTGTATCCGTTTTTGTTAGCCTGTTTAGTGGGATTTTATGCCAGTTGTTGAAATGAGCATCGATGTATCCATTTTTTTAGTCAAGGCACAGCCTTTGCCAAAAAAAAACCCCTCTTGTCAATTGTTATATATATTTTTTGTCATTCCAGTTTGAGTTAATGTGCTGAGCATTTGTTTTTTTTTAAATAAAAGCTTTGTAATAAAACTATAAAATACTTTTTGACGGGTTGAAAATGAGTCATCATTTGATTCAACATGTTCCACACCGGATCACTGGAAGAGTATTTGGAGACATTTCTGCTCTTCCTGACTTGTATGCTTTTCTACCCTTGGGCACAAGGCATTTGGGAAAAAAGCAGCCATGGACATAAACTGAATTTTGACTAGGGATGCAATACTAGGCATGCTTGGGATTAAAACCCCTTAAAATTGGTGGAAGTTTGTATAAACATGAGTAGGGTCAGGCTGCCACTCTCAGCATGTTCTTTTCTACAGAGGATATCGGCAAACTTCTGCATAATTGGGACTAGTGCCACCAGCTAAATTCTATAAACTTTTACTTTGAAAACTGGGCTTAGCCTTATGCATGCAGCAGAATACTGTGGGAGAATTGAGACAGCCACTTCAGAAGTACAAGAGGAGGAGCTACATTTTTTAAACGATCCCTTACGTTTAAAAGCTGCCTTCAAGTAGAAAATAGGCTCAACTTGAACCTTTCTCCCTTCTGTGCCAGTTTTGCGTGGGTGGGAGGGACACTAACTGGAGCTCTCTGGAGCTAGTGTGGTGTAGTGGTTAAAAGTAGTGGACTCTAATCTGGAGAACTGGGTTTGATTCCCCTCTCCTCCACATGAAGCCTGCTGGGTGACCTTGGGCCAGTCACAGCTCTCTCACAACTCTCAGCCCCACCTATGACACGGTACCTATTGTGGGGAGAGGAAAAGAAGGCAATTGTAAGCTGCTTTGAGGGACTCTAGTGTAGAGAACAGCAAGGTATAAAAACCAACTCTTCTTTCCAAAATACCATGTCCTGCTACTAGCCTGCAGTGACAGAACATCTGTTTGGCATGTAGAAGGTCCCAGTTTCAGTCCCTGTCTAATGCTCCCTCTAAGCTGTGGAGTCTTGTGAGCAAAACTTCTACTTTGGGAGCTACTGGCATGAAAGTTGTGAGTGAGTGATTTGGCCACTGCATAAGTTAGTTTGCTCTGGAGCCATCTTTCCTGAGCTAAGACAAAAATGTGTGAGCCAGAGGCTAAAAAACTCTGAGCTAGCTCACACTAACTCAGCTTAGAGGAAACACTGTCGCTGGCATCTCCATTTAAAGGATCCGGGAATTGGTCATGTGAGACCCTAGAAAGCTGCTGCCACTTCGAGTAAAAAAACCTCACTTTGATGGACCAATGGTCTGATTCAATATAAGGCAGCTTCATGTGTACGACACGATTCCATTACCTCATTCTACTGTGTGTATACAGATCAGGCCACAGTCCCACTGGATGGGGTTCAAAAAGGCACAGGAGGCCCTCTCTGCTGGTGGAACCTCCCCCTCCATGTCTTCTGCTGCTGCCCAAAATGGCTGCTCCTGAGGGTCAGGGGAACCCTGGGGAACAACATGGGCGGCACCTACTGTAGAAGATCACAGATCGTTCCTTATGTGAGTGAAAATGTCTTCAGGTTCAAGCCCCTGAGTCCTTTTACTTCAAAGACACTATGCGATGCTTCTGCACAATACCCAGCATTATGGGTCTCGTTGTGGGTGAGCAAAGAGAAAGAATGTTACTTTGTCATTTAATCAATCTAGCGGAACATTCAACTGCCTTGCAAGTTCTTCGTATGTGGCCATTTTTTTAGGTGAAATTAGTCAACCCACATTCAAATACATCATAGCAGAATTTCAAAAAGGCAATATTTTGAAGAGGTGTTTTTTTTAAAAAAACAACAACATTATTTGGCACAGATGGTCCATTGTTGGGGAAGTCATACTATACTTCCTGGCTCAAGCAGCTTAGGTGCATTACAAATTCTGTCAACACTTTCCATCTAAACCTGAATGCTGTTGTTAGGAACTGGCACTTCTCCTTATTCCTTTCTCAGTGAGTTTCTGGCTGAAAGTCTGGAAGAAGATTCATTGGATTCCTTCCCATAAATCTAAGAAACAACGGCAGCTACAGACACACAAGCCGGTGTGGTGTGGTGTGGTGGCACTGCTCTCCTCCTTGGCCACACAGCCTTGTTAGACAAGACTAATGCATGAAAGGAAGGAGAGGATTACAAATGCGATGTGGAACGGCCTTTGTAAGGCAGCGTCTGCCTGTGCTCT